ACTAAATTTCGAAGATTTTATAAATGTGGTTTTGTATTAAAAACAAAAAATCTGGGGCCTCCCTGGTGGCTCAAGGGGTTAAAACACAACCTATGAAGCAATCTGCAGCCTCTGCAACACAAGTTCGATCCCCCGGCTGGCCAGGAAGCAACCCACATGGTGCTGTAGACCTCTCCTGATTTGCCCGCTGCTCCCCTCATTAGTTTATTTCAGCCAATCTGCCTGTTCTGTGCCCCACTCTGTCTCTGGTGAATCCTCTCACCTCTCACATCTCTGGCCTGTACCCCAGCTTTTGTATGCACAAATAAATAAATCTTTAAAAAAATAAAAACAAAAAATCTGCAACTAAAACATGAGAAAGCATCACGCTGAAAATGGGAACAGAGTACCATTCAGATTTTTAGTAAATCAATGATAATTTGTACTGTCCATGATTACAGAATGTAATACAACATGATTTAATTGTTGTAGGTAGCATGATGCGTTGATTACATTGTGCTGTTATTTTGACAAAACACGTCAAATAGAATTTCAGCAAATATTTAACACAATTATAAGTAAAATATCCCTGACATAAACTGGCATCAGGAAAAAAAGACAGGGACATTTCAGAACATTCACCTTTATTTTCCATTCACAAACACAACATAAATAACATACATTTATTAAATATACATACTAACTATGACTTGAATGCCATCAAAATTCTGATGTACTTTTCATAGTCATTTTTATTCTTTGTCTCCACAATATTGAAGACCTGCCTTTAAAACATACTGGAAGATATGTTTTAATATACTTAAACTAACTCCCAAAATAGTTTCATAGAGGTGACAAAACCATGCCTTCTCATCTAATCAAGTGTGTTGGGATAGGATGCGGAGTAGAAGAGGTGGAGAAACATGTTTTCTATACTGAGCTTTACATTTCTAATTATAGTGTCAATGATTTCAGTTCTTACGTAGACATACCATGCAAATTATTCACATTCATTTGTTGTAAACAAATCAAGTTAATCATTGCCAAATTTAAATCTGTTTAAAGAAGTGTCCAATTTTATCCTGTTTGAACTAAAAACATCTGGTAAAAAAGAGGAGGAAGGTTTTATATGTATAGATATATATGTATATATACACACACACATATATCATATGTATAAAGGGGGTTGAAAGGAGAAAGAGTTAAGCAGTTAGTGATGACTTAAGTGACCTTTAATATCTGCTTTTACAGAAAAAGATGCCTCTCATCACTTTGTCCCACTGATGTTCAAGTATGTAAAGATAAAGGCAATCCCTTCCTCGTTTTGCTTCTGATGGACCTAAAAGGATAAAGAATTTTACCAAGCTGGAAATGCACAGGTCTTCCTCTAGGTATTTTTCTACATCCTCTGTCTCATCCTCCATGCCTGCTCAACATAAGTATCCTATCAAAAACTGAAGGAACACTGAAGTGTATCAATCAGTCATGTTTACTTTTCTCTGCTTAACTTTATAGCTTTGATTTCTATAGAAACAAACTATGGAAAGAAAGTATTTCAAATATTAAGTTCTATTAAATTCTGGTGACAAGCTAGCTTTTGGCTAGATATCTGATTGATTCACTTCAACTAAAAGGTTAAATTTTCTAATTCTAGAGCAATTGACAAAAGAATTTGAGAACTGCACTTTTCAAAATAACTTTAGAGGTGGAATCATCTCCAAAATACTCAAAAAGCATGAACAGGCTGATTTGTTCCTGATGGTGCTAGCTTTCCTTTCTGTCTTTACTCCCATGATAAAACTGTTTCATCAAAGCAGATGTTAGGAAAACAGGGCATTGGCATGCTAGAAATTTAAAGCTGTTCTCACCGCTTAAAAACAGTCCCAGATTCACCAATAGTAAATATTTCTGTTACTTTTCTCTGTGAGAAAATGTACAGATTTTCTGTTTTCTGCCTTTGACTTAATATGAAAGAACTATTAAATGATTGTTAACATGGGGAAGATTAAAAGTTGATCACTAATTTGGGATCAAAACCAATGAAAACAAGTATTAAATAAATGAAAGGCCTAATGCTCTCAAAAAATCTAATATGAGAACAATGCCACAGATTGATAACCTTATTAAAATAACTGTTTATTCAGAGTTTTTAATTTGTATGGTCATAGGATCTTTAACTTTTACCTGAGCTTTTGCAATTTTCTTCTGGATCCTGGTAGAGAGATCTTTTATGTATTAAAGAAGTGTTAAGTAGAAATAGATGCACATGTTTTAATTCATACTCATATCTATCATGATTAAACATGTATGTTTACTTAAAATATCTTAGTGTACAGCATTAAATAAATTTAGCAAGTCTTGAGACCACACATTTTCTTTCCTCAATTTAAAATATTTTTAAGATATCATATTTTGTTTGAAAAGTGTAAACTTCTTATTATAATTTATGCACGCATATTTTCCTCTTCAGATATATATGTGAATAAAGTAAGTATGTAAGAGTGAACTTAAAGGGCAATGAACTTAAACTTGGAAACAAGCATACTCTTCTTCAGTGACTTTTGATTTCCATTATCCATATCTAAGGCCTCTGAACAACAAATATGAAGTCTAACCTCAACTACCATCCAAAGGTTGATATCATCTGAGCTTTATACTTCCTACCAGTCAATTTGTGTTAACAAATGTCTGCTTAGAAAATGAAATTCACATGCCATAATTTTTCTTTTACCAACTCCTTTTCACACTTGTTCAAACTGCACGTGGTCCACTCCTACCATGTATCCCTGGGCAGGAGCTTATTTTGCAGTTAAGGATAAGTTTTAGGATGATTTGTCTTTTTTTATTCTGTGTTTTGATGAAAGGTGATATTCCTTTGAGAGTAATTTCTATTATTATCTGGAAATATCAGCACCTTAAATTATTAATACAAATAAATCTCTGTTGTATAGCAATTATGACACTACACATTTGAAGATAAATTTACACTTCTATAATTAAATAAGAGTTTGCTTACTTTATCAGCTTGATGGATTACAATAGTATGAAGCACTTCAATTATATGGGGGGAGGTCACTGATGGTTCTAGAAGGAATAATCCAGTCGTCCTCACACCACTCTAACCCACACTGCGTGTGTTTAATCTGATGTCAAAGGACTGTTTAAGAGATAAAACTTCTTTTTCAGGTGGTCATTAAGGTCTACTTAAGTAGATAGCTTTGTCTCATACTCATTTGGTAAACTGTGGGATAAACCAAGCCTGTGGCATAGTGGGATTTTAATAATGAAGCTTACGTATAGGTTATTTTATTATCCTTTTTAGTAAAACCTAGAGTAGAAGAACCATTACAAATGACACTACAAGTATCAGCAGATTTTATCTCTCACTCAATTTGACATGGTCATTTAAATTATTTCTGATCGATCTATACTTGTATACATGTTGAATATATATATGTATATATACACATATATATCTCACATGTATACATACATACACACCTATATATACTGTATCAGCTAATATAAATTCTACCACAAATGTCTATTAAACACAAATAAAAATGTAGTAACTATAAAGAAGTATAAATAAACCTCAAGTTCTTTTTTTTTAAACTAGCAAAGCAAAAAGAAGCTGCAAATTAAAATCTTCACAAGAAAATGTTAATAAGTTGAAAAAATGCTCTAAAGAACTCAGTGGAGTTCTTTGTGGAGTATTTTATGTAGGTCGAACTTAAAACATTGTTGTGTTTGTTGGGGATTTTTTTTAAAGTGAACTTAAAATATGTTTTGTTTGTTTGCGATTTTTTTTAAAGTTCAATTCTCAGAACTCAACATAGCTATCCACTTGTGCCACAGATAGCCAAGCTTAGCTGTTAGTGTGTATACATGTAGAAAGAAAAATATTTTAATAATAAATATTTAGATAGATCTATTTTGAGGGGAGGGCAGAAAAAGGACTGTAGAGGGTTTAATATTAATTTTCTTATTCTATAAATAGGTCAAATTATGGAAAAATCTTTATAGAACCTATAAAATATTTATTGGTCTTATAATTGTGGTTAGTATTTAAATATCCAAAAGACTGGAATACTTGGGTGGAAAAACCAGAGTAGATGACTATCCAGACTACCTATATTTAGTATTCAAGTAAGTCTTTAAATAACATTCTGAAAAATCACTTCACTGACTTGCAAGGTCAGTTTCATGAACCTTCTTCAGGTTGTAGGAATTCAACATATATTGAAATGGAATAACAGTTAGCAACAAGGAAAGCCACAAATCCTGCCATATTTGAAATAAATGGAATTGGTTCTGCTTTGGACAATTAGTCAACCTAATTACCAACCTAACCAAAAGTTTAACTTTGTGAGGTTAGCAGCTAATTTACATATTGAGCAATAACATCAGTACCAATGATTATTGTGGATACACTACATTTTTCTTTATCTTAATTCAACTTGTTTTTTTAATGTAAAAGGAAAACAGTGACAGAAAGGGAAAGAGAGTGAAAGAAAGTGAAAGAGAACACAGAAAATCAAAGTCCCTAAATGATGACAAAAGACCTGCTATCTTATCTTTTTGATGATGTAAGCACTAAATCCTCATGCGCTCTGTATACCAGAATATTAGCAATCCCCACTCCACCCCAACCACTGCCAAGATGGTTTATAAAAAAATTCCTTTGTCTCATAAATAATCGCATATTCAGCTACAAATGACATAACACTAGACTGCCATTAATGTAGTTTCCTTTGTTTATGTTTCAATGCTTTTGGCACACCAGGGATTATCTATGCTTCTAAGACCACTTAGCCTTACATCAAAAATCCCACTTCAATGCATAAGCAGTGGCATGCCAGAGATGCCTAAATTCACAGTAAGGTTTAGGATTGCCAAAAGCTGTGGACATGCAAGTTGATTATTCTCTTTCATGCTCCTGTCTGTATTATTTCATGGGATAATGACATAGGCTGTCCTTTCTGTCCATCACTGGAGCAGCTGGAGACAGCATTTGCTACCTGGCAAAACTTTCGAAGAAGGATCTTTCTTAGCAGCAGATAAACCCAGGGATCCAAGATCTGGTTCAGTGAAGCCAGGCGAACAGCTATTAAGAAGAAGTTGCATTCTTTCTGCTTTTCCATGTGTGTCTTGCAGTGCTCAACTGATGTCTGATTGAAGATCATTTTTAACATCATTATCTAAGAAAAAGGGACAAATAAAATTGTTCCAAAGATTAATAGGGTCATATGCATGTCCTTTACACAGGGTTTTGCAAGATTAATAGGGTCATATGCATATCCTTTACACAGGGTTTTGCAAGATCAATAGGGTCATATGCATGTCCTTTACACAGGGTTTTGCAAGATTAGTAGGGTCATATGCATGTCCTTTACACAGGGTTTTGCATGTAGTCAGCTTACGGTAAATTGTTCATTGAATTGGAATAATAAATTTAGCTAGCATTTACAGTCACAGAACACAGGCCTGAATTACACAATTACATTCCCTCATTTTTGACTATTTGATGTAACATAGTTTTCAAATAATGTATGTCCTCAGGGTCTTGATGCTTGGGATTTAAGAAGCTTAAAAATAGCACATCTCAAAAGTAGCCACAATTATCCGTGTTTTTGCAGAAAACACCAGTAATGTGACATTCAAATGAGAACCAACTTCAACAAGACCAAAACATACGTAATCTTAACTTTCAGCAGTCCTGAAAAATTTTACTGAAGAAAAGAATACAAGAAAAAAAGGATAAAATGGCAACATCATTGTTATTACTGCCATTAGTATTTTCTGAATTCTTGTAATTTGCCAGTGCTGTGTCAAGTACTTCATATGCACATAAAGAGCAATATAAGGTAGGGCCTCCCTGGTAGCACACAGGGTTAAGCACCACACTATGAAGCTATCTGCAGCCACTGCAGCATGAGTTCGATCCCCAGCCAGGGAGCTACCTGCATGGCAAGGCAGACTTCTCCTGTCTTGCCCGCTGCTCCCCTCAGCAATGTATTTCAGTCACTCCATCTGTTCTGTTTCCCACTCTGTCTCTGGTGAATCCTCTCACCCCCACACATCTGGCCTGTGCCCCAGTTCTTGTATGCATAAATAAACCTTTAAGAAAAAAAAGAACACTATAAGGCAGATACCATTACCATCTGCTTTTTATAGTTGCAGAAACTGAGTTTTAATGATGTAAAATGACTGAGCCAGATTTAAACTCTGTCACTAACACCACAGGACATAAAGTATTTTACTTTTTCAGTCTCCCACTCTCCCCCCACCCACACACAAGCACAGAAATTGGTAATTTTTTTCTTCATTAGTATATACACAGTGCATAGACTAGTATCTAGCAGATAGTAATAGATATTTTCAAATGAATATACTCAATGGTATTTATATAAATAAAACATAGCATGACATGTAAGATATAAAAATGTTTATATATTTATTATTATTATTACTTTTAAATTTTATATATTTTTACATCATTTTTCATTTTTGCGCAATGTATACATTTTCATCTTGGTTATAGTGCCCATACAATTCCTACCCCCCCACCCCCCGTTTTGACACTACTCCCTCCTTCCACCCCCTGTAGTGTGTCTCTGGTTTATAATTTATAGTTGCTTGTTGATTTTGATTTTTACTTTATTATAGTTAGTCTTTTTTCCTAGTCCCTTATTTAGGTTTTCTAAATTCCTGCTATGAGTCAGCTAAGCTATGGAAACAACCCAAATGCCCAAAAATAGATGACTGGATCAAGAAGATGTGGTACATATACACAATGGAATATTACTCAGCAATCAAAAATATAAACTCGTGCAATTTGCAGTAACATGGATGGAGCTGGAAGGGATTATGCTCAGCGAAATAAGCCAGAAAATGTTTATATTTTAATGAATGTGATTTTCACAGAAGAGGAAAAATGAAGGTTTTTAGGCATCTGAAAATAGAATGAAGCCCATTAATCATCAGAAAAATGCAAATTATGAAAAAATAAGAAACCATTTTATATCCACTCATTTAACAGAAGTGAAGACATGTCACTACTTTTTTTTCCGTTTTTTTATTTTTAAAGATTTTTTATTTATTTAGACCAGAGCTGGGGCATAGGCCAGAGGCATGGGAGGGTGAAAGAATTCACCAGAGACAGAGCGGGGAGCAGAACAGGCAGATCTACTGAAATGAGGGGAGCAGCAGGCGAGACAGGAGAGGTCTGCCGTGCCATGTGGGTATCTTCCTGGATGGCTGGGGATAGAACCCATGCTGCAGAGGCTGTGGACAGCTTCCCAGCAATGCGCTCAATCCGTTGAGCCACAGGGGAGGCCCTATATGACACTACTTCTAATGTTAGTGAGAATGTGAGGTGCTGACTGACCTACTAGTGGGGTGTAAGCTGATCCACCTTGGAAAGCAACTGGGCACTATTTCATGTTACTCCCAGCAACCTTACTCTAGGAAGATATTACTCCAAATTCCTTCACCAGGAGTGTTGTAGATAGATTTTGTACATACTAGCAAAAAGAGAACAGGATCAACCCAAACATGGGGTTCACATTTGCAAACAAAGAAAGGTGCTGACTTTATACCCAGCTCCTACATTGGTCTACCTAGAGAACCATTACTTTTTTTTTAAAGATTTATTTTATTTATACAAGAAGTGGGGTACAGGCCAGATGCGCTGGAGGCTGAGAGGATTCACCAGAGACAGAGCAGGGAACAGAACAGGCAGACTGATGAAATACACTGCTGAGGAGCACAGCGGGCAAGATATGTGGGTTGCTCAGAGGCCGGCGGGGATTGAACCGGCACTGCAGAGGCTGCAGACAGCTTAATAGCACTGCGCTCAACCACCTGCACCACCTGCACCACCAGGAAGAGCCTCAAGAACCATGACTCTTAAGGACTTGAAATGTGGCTGGAGCAAATCAAGATGTTGGAAAATGTAAGGGCCATATAATGGAATGACACCATTTTTACATATTGTGCTAAATGACGTATGTTACTAAAATCACTTATTTCCTTTTACTTCTTGTTAAAATGTGGCCACTAGAAAATTTAAAATTATAAATGTGGCTTTCATTTGTTCCTCACAGCAAGTTACTATGGATCCAATTCCTCTCCCGAAGCCCACACTTATTTGGGTGTTCTGTCCTTGGGTCACAATCCCACAATCCCAAATGAAAGTCAACCTCCCTCAGCAACCAAAATACCCTGAACCACAAACCTGCATTCCTAACAATGACACTTTCATTCTAACACATTCACCCTGGCCCCACACATCAGGCATCTTTAAATCATTCTTTTGTCTCATCCTCTGCAATATCTTTTGCTCTTGTTCCAGTCTCACCCAAATTCAGTATCTCCCCCCTCCTCTCATCTACAGACACTCAGATGGTTTGTAGATGTCAATATATCACAGACTCAGCATCTTATATCCCAGCTCAAATCCTCATCATCTATAAAACTCCAACTTGGTTCGTATTGGACAGAGTTGAATGGCAGGTGATTCTTAAACCAATCACTGTCAAAGGAGATGGAATTTTCCAGGTTTGGCTAAGAGCACACATTTATCTTCTGGGGTTACCCCATGGTATTTCACAAAATCATCACCTAATATTTGAATAAGATTTTGGTTCTGTGAACAAATAAGAAGAAGGGAATGGGAATGAGTAGACAAACATGATATAGTCATATATTCTGACTCTGTAATTCCTTTCAAAGGAATTTTTTCCCAAGGATTTTATTCAATAAAAGTAAAAACAGCGATGTAAATAAGTGACTGTTCATCAATATGTTATTTATACTAGTAAGTATACTAGTAAGAAATTATGAACACATAAATCTCTAACATTAGGAATAAAGTTTAATAAAACCAGCCTGAGTGTCCTCCCCGGTGGCGCAGGGGTTAAGATGTAACCTATGGAGCTGTCCGCAGCCATTGCAGCATGAGTTACATTCCCTGGCCGGCCAGGGAGGTGACCCACATGGCGCAGCAGACCTCTCCTGACTCGCCCGCTGCTCCCCTTAGCAGTGTATTTCAGTCAGTCTGCCTGTTCTGTTGCCCACTCTGTCTTTGGTGAATCCTCTCATTCCCCACACCTCTGGCCTGTACCCCAGTTCTTGTATGCATAAATAAATAAATCTTTAAAAAACCCCAGCCTTTTTGCATAATAATATATACATAAGAATTAAGAGAAAAGAACAGAATATAAGATAGTATTATGCATATAATGATATATAGTAATTACAATAAAACTGTATAAAATACATGGACTTGTCTAAGGTAATAGTTCTCTATTAAACAATAATTTACTACTAAGTAATTATTATTTTGAAGATTTTATGTAAAAACATTTTAAACGATTTACGGAAGTCTCACTTAAAGGAGGTTGGTGATTATTTTCTGCATTAATAAATATTTATTTAAAATAAATATATTTAACAATTAAATTTAATATTTTATTTTTAAAAATTATAATAAATTTATAAATATGTATTTATTTAAATTTATTTAAAATAAATATATGCATGTTAGTAAGTTTCTGATGTTGACACATAGTTCTATAAGCTACATACAACCTCCCACTGTAATAGGGTAACTTTTCCTAACTCCTGTCTAAATTTTCTCAGTTTTAAATTTGCAACATGTGAAAATGAATTCCTGTTTTTCTAGTAACATTAGTTAGACTCAGTAGAGGGAACCAGTCAATATGTTATCATGCACAGCAAAAAGGTCTTTGTAGATGTGATTAATGTTAAGGGTCTTGAGACGGAGAGATTTCCTGGATTATCTGGGTGATGCAAGGTAATCAGGTAATCACATGGGTCTTTCAAATATGAATCCCTTTCCTAGCTGTGGTCTACGCAACTTTATAAGGAGATGTGACTAGAGAAGATTGGTTAGAGACATGCCATGTTGCTGGTTGTAAAGATGGAGGGAGAGAGTCAGGAATTAAGGAAAGCAGAAGGCCTCTATACCAGGAAATAAGGTAAATGAGTATCTGACGCTTCTCCAGAGATTCCAGTGGGGAATGCAGGCTTACAGACACCTTGATATTAGCCCCGCGAGACTATGTCAGATTTCAAACTGACAGAACTGTAGAAGAAATGTGTGTGGTTTTTGCCAACAAGTTTGTTGTAATTTGTAGAGTGCAGTACTAAATGAACCTACCCAAAGTGCAAGCTC